CCAAAATTTCAAGCAATTGTGAAATTTCTATATGCATACAGAATCAAAAGACTCAAAATAATGTTTAATTAATTAAAAATAAAACATGCATCAAATGGACTTCAAATTATTTCCACATTGTTCTCCTCTGTTCATTGAGCAAGTGGGTATTTTTATTTTGATTTTGTACTTTTTCTACACCAAGATATGGATTTTTTAATTTAGGGCTATTTAAATAAATAGGAAAATCCATATTTTTCTATTTAAACAGCGTGGCACCACCTCATCCTAGGCCTCTCCGAAGCTCCACATGGCGCACTCCTGTTCGACGCCACCATCCATGCCAGCTGCCACGCGTCTCACCTTTTCGAACCATGCTTCCATCCGGCACAATCAGAGCCCTCTGTTTGATACACACGCGATCCAATGATGCTCCATCATCGTCCCCAATGGTCTAACCCGAGAACAGTCCGTTTTCAAAGCTTGATATCTCTCTCATTTCTTAACCAAATTGAATGCAATTTTTTTTAAAATGCTCGTATTGATTAGTAGAACATATCTATATGGTTAAGATGCTATGAAATCAACTCTAAACAAATAGAGAGTGAAAATAGGCTTGGGAAGAGGAGGAGATCAATACCTTGGCTCTAAGAAGGGAACCTTCAATCAGAGGTGCTTGGCATGTTCATGGAGATCCAAGGATGCTAGGGATGGTCATGGTGAAAGGTCTAAACCCAAATTTGATCAAGGCCAAATTTGGGTGTCGATCAAAGTCTAGTATAGAGGCTCTCTGTGAGGGGGATTTGATGGGGATTCTTCTTCTTTCACTGTGGTGAAGGTGTGGGTGAGTTTAATTTGAGTTTGGTGGATTGTGGAGGTATATTGAGCTCTGTCTTGGTTTTTGGCAAAAGTTTGAGCTAAAAATTGAGCTTCCACAGTGGGAATCAGTGGGGGAAAGTGGTTGGCTTGAGCTGAGGAGGTCTCAAAGAGTCTCTAGGAGCAATTTGGAGGGGTCTCTCTGAGAAATTATTCAACACTAACTCCATGGCCGTGGAGGTGAGCTTTTCATAAAAATGGCTTAAGGCTTGCTGCCATGGCCAATGAGGGGGTGAAAAGTGATGCTTAGGTGGAGGGCAGAGAGGCTCTAACATTTAATTTGGATGAGGTGGCCTCTAGGTTTGAAATGAGTCTGATTCCATTGGGGTGGCTCACAATTTTGGTGTTTTCCGGCACTAGGCCAGCCAGCCAGACCAAGGGAGGTGGCCAAAGGGCTCAGGGACCTCAGAGGAATATGTCACAGCAATTAAATGGGTTTGGGCTTTGTTTTGGCAAAAGCAATCTTAAGCTTAGGCAATTTTGGAAACCAAATCCCTTAATTTAGTGGACCTTTGGTCCATGGCTTAGCTTAGGTGGTTTTATGGATTTTAGAGTGGTCAGTAGGGTCCAACTAATGGCTGTGGAGTTATTAATTTGGTGGCTTTGGGGTGGTCAGGCTAACTTTAGTGCATGGGTCTAATGTGGGTTCACATGAACAAAACTTGGGTTTGGGCTAGGCTATCCATGAACTTGAGCCCAAATGATTAAATAATATTGTGTAGATGATTTTAATGAAGATTTTTGGTGAAGGATTGAAATGATTTTGAGTTCAATTGGAGGGTCAATTTGGAGGATTTTTGAAATTTGGTCAATTTGAGCATGTTGGGCTAGACTTGGGTCTAGATTGGGCTAGGGTTGGAATTTGGCTCAATTGAATGGTCCAAATGATCAAGGGAGATGCTATAAATATTTTTCATGAAGGAATGGAATGGAAATTATTGGGCTAAGGCAATCAATTTGTTGGAATTTTGAGACGGCCAATTTGGGCAAATATATGAATTTTTTGATTTGGGTTGAAATTAATTGAAATTGAGGCTTCACCGAAGTCAATTGAAGATCAATTTTGATGTTTAGGAATTTTATGAAGAGTTTAGGATTCAAATTGAGGCTAATTGAGTAGGCTATAGGTTAATTTTTGTTGAGATTAGGTCATGTGGCCAAAATTGGGGGTTTGATTTAGATCAAAATTGGGCTCAAATCATGGACCAATTGGGCTTGTATTGGGGGAAATTGGGACCAAATTGGTAGACATTTGAGGTAAATTTGGGAAAATTGGGCTTTTAAAGGCAAATTTTAGGGGTTTTGGTCAAAATGGTCAAAATGGCCAAATTGGGTAATGTAGTAGTTAAGAAAAGTGTAATTGGGAATATTTGGAATATTTTGAGACTTTTTGGGATTTTTTGGAATTTTTTTGGCATTTTGGGCTAAGGAGGGGTATTTTGGTAATTTGGCCAATTTTGTTGGTAATTTGAGGAGGGGCATTTTGGTAATTTGACAATTTTTGGTGATTTTGGGTAACTTGGATGTTTTCAAAAGGTTTGAAATCATTTTTGAAAAAAATTGGGTATTTTGGGAAAATTTGGGAATTTTGGCCAAATTTAGGGTCCCAAGGGTATCATGGTAATTTGGGGAGTTTAGGGGCAAAAGGCTAAGTTGGGTGTTTTTGGTAAAATTGGAGGTTGACCACCACAACTAAGCTATAGAACAATGGAAACCCCATTTGGGTCCTCTTTGTACTGGTCTTAGCTAAACCCTAGCCTAGGGTTAGTGGGTTTAGGGGACCATCTACATGAGTATCCCAAAAGTATCAAGGGATCAAAGTCAAGAAATTTTGGTTTGTGCTTGTGAGTGGTTGTGAGTGAGGTAAATGCTGGTGAGTGCCTTAGCTCTAGACCAACACCCAGAGCCAACTCTAAGGTTCAACAGTCCTATGGGAACTCTCCTTGAGCTTTCTCATAGTGATCCCACCTATTAAGTGCTAGAGGTTAGGACCAATATGTAGAGCTTCAAGTTGAGTAAGGAATCGTTTAGAGTTTCTAATGGTTCCTTTTCTAGTTTTCTAAGAATAGTTAATAGGAAAGTCCTATGGCTAGACCTTAGGTTACTAAAGAGGAATACTAGACATCAACCAGAAGTGAGATCAACAAGTATACTCATGAAAGAGTTAGTGTAGCTGTGCTACAAAATAAGATTAAAGATAAATATTGATAAATGTTTGTCGATTATCGATCTTCCACATCCCTAATAATCTCAGTAAATGGTATTTTTCGTTTTATCATCATTTGTTTTCACAACACACAGAACTAACTCCTCATACAATAAAAGCCCTATGAAGTTAAACCTATCTACACCATTTGATTGGGCTTGCACCTGCAAGACCAAATAGGTCGACAAAATGTTTGCTAACTCCACTCGAAGAGTCACTAGCTCCATCGAGTGCTCTAGTCTTATGGTTTTTATCTCCTCTCGGAGCACCTCCACCTTTGCATTTGGCTGAGGGCCATCGGTTCCTCTTTCAAACCCCACTTAAGAATTAACTGGGATGTTTACCGCCTCTTCCATGCTCGGAGCCTAGGCCGAGGCCCCCTTTGCTACACCATAAGCGGTAACTCTGAAGGCACCTAAAAGTGGTGAGTTAGCGCTTAGGATGGTGTCACTATCATCAATGAGAAAGCATCAATAAAAAAAAAATAGTCGCATAGATCACGATCATATACCTAGGGCTCAATATAACTCAGACCACCTAAACGATGGACAACTATCACCAGACATTGGTTAGGCTTCCCCAATCGCTTGACCAAGGTCTGGTTCCATGACAAAAATTCCCTAATCTTACAAAGCACATGCCATTTTATCTCTAAGGCCTGGTTTAAGTGTTGAAGACCTCTGTTTAGGGGTAGCAAAGCTTCAACCGTTCCTTAGGCAAGTTGCACAGTCAGGTGAGTGTTGGCTGCAACAGGAGCAGGGGCACTAACAGGTTGGCCTCCTTCCTTTTGTCGAAGAATTGTCAACAAGTTGGATGACACAAAATCATCTCCAGAGTCTTCCATCCACTTCTTCTTGTAAGCGAGACCTTCACGTCAACCTTATTCCAGCGCTCTCTTTGTTATCCTAGGTTTCTTCGCACACTAAGATCATCTCCCTTCACTAAACATTTTTGTTCCAGTCCTCTCACCCTCAAAATAGCTGCCTCCCTCTGATCACTTCTTGCTCTCAAGCTCCTTTTATCGGTGGGCATGCGATGCAGAGGCACTAAGGGCATTCACCAGTATTTCCTCGATATACAGTCATCATGGTTCTTCTTACTGCTTGCCATTAAGATGCTCCTAAAGCCAAGCGACTAAACAACGAGAAAAAGTTAAGTACGGACCCGTAAGCCCTCAGCTCCAATCACAACACCCCATTTTTTAAGTTTTTCTAAAAGAAGGAAAATTAAAAGAGAGGCTCAATGACATACAATTTTTGCTTTGGTGTATGTATTTAATTGGAGGTCGTACACAGCTCTGCGTACGGGCTCCGTATGCAATTTTTTTTCCTAAACAACACACTCTCAAATAGTGAGGATAACGAATATCCCAACCACACCCTATTTATAGAGGACAACGAGTATGGTAATCAAGAAATTTCAATTATTAAAGTAGTGAATACAAAAGTGAGCAAATATATTTCTTTACATTAAATTCTCTTGTTCTTATCACAACACAGCTTTTAAAAAATTCAAGAATCAAGAGGATCTGTAAACTAGATATACACGTTCAAAATTCATCAAAAAATTTACTCCAGTAGTATAGCATCTGCGGGATAATATGTAACATGAACCAACAAAAACAACTTTAAACATGGTTCATTAATAATGATTGTGAATTCACATATCAAAATTTTTTTCTGAAAAAAAAAAAAAAGTTATTAATGGTAGATTTTTTGCACGATCACTGGTTTAGGGCCCATTTGGATCGCACCACAGTTTTGTTAATTTTTTTAAGAAGCTACCGTCAAAACCTGTATTTTACCACCAATGTTGGCTAAGTTTAGTACAACTTTTTAGTATTGATCTGACTTAAAAATTAAAAATAAAAAACTATCGTAACATTTTTAACATCAAATTATTTGGTCGATATGATTTTAAGTTGCCCCGAAAAAACGATTCCTAATCAACACTCTCATGGAAACCGTCTCCCGAATAAGAAGATAGGAGTTGGATAGACTATCGAGAGGACCGCTCCTCTTCCACTAGATTTGGATATCGAAAAGTTTGCAGTGCGGTCTTACCTCGGACCCCATTCTCATTCGCTCAGGTAACCTTCTTATTTCTTCTACATGCTCAGGTTATTTCTTCTACATCGTCTATTTTGATTCTGAATTTTTTTTTTGAATTGTACTTTTTTGAGAATGTTGAATGAAGCTTCAAAACATGAATCAGGAGTACAGTGATGCCTCTTAAGTTTGAAAACTTTGAAGTTTGATGGTTTGATTAATTTGTTTTAGTACATACTTTCTCTCTTCTAGGCGAGCTGAACGTTTTTCTCTATTTAAGTTTAGGAGCCATGCAGCGAGTTGAGAACCAGCAGAGTGAGATTCTAGGGTTCTTAAAAAGCAAAGGATTTGACGATAAAAAGATAGAAAGAATGTTCAAGAGATGCAAATTCCTTGAGAGTGTGGAAAGAGAAAGAGCCAATGAGGTGTGGGATTATTTGACAACCATTGGGATTCAAGAAAGGAAGATGCTTCATTTCATTTCTAATTGCCCAAAGGTTCTCACGCTGAAATTAAATGAGAAGCTTGTGCCCGTTGTTCGATGCCTCTCAACCCTAGGAACAAAATCTGGTGATGTTGCGATGGCCATCACTAAATTCCCTCCCATCCTCTTTCACAGTGTCGAAGAGAAGCTATGCCCGCTCTTGGCCTTATTCCAAGCAATTGGTATTCCGGAAAAGCAAATGGGTAAGCTGCTTTTGTGTAATCCAAGGCTTATCAGTTACAGCATTGAAAAGAAGTATGCTGATATGATTGGTTTTCTTGCAAGCATGGGAATCAAAAGAGAAGGTGCTATAGGTAAAATTCTGGTGAAGAATTCATGGATCATGGGATATAGTGTGGAGAGGCGGCTTCAGCCAACTGCAGATTTCTTGAAATCAATTGGTCTTAACAAGCAAGACATTCAAGGAGTGGCAGTCAGCTTTCCCGAAGTTTTGTGTAGAGATGTGGAGAGAATTTTGAAGCCCAATTTAGAGTTCTTAAAACACAGCGGGTTCAATAATGAGCAGATTAGGTTGTTGGTCGCTGGGTATCCTCCAATTTTGATCAAGAGTATCAGGAATTCCTTGCAGCCAAGAATCAAATTTCTGGTAGAAGAAATGGGGAGAGAGATTGGTGAAGTCGCAGATTATCCTGAGTTCTTTCGGCATGGTCTGAAGAAGAGCCTTGAAATTAGACAGAGATTACTCAAGCTGAAGAGAACAGAATGTAGTTTGTCTGAGATGTTAGAATGCAGACATAAGAAGTTTCTTGTCAAATTTGGATTTGTCGATGGGTTGTCCTAAATCTCTTTCAATTTACAAGTCAGTTTTTCTTTTTCTTCTCCAAGGCTTTCTGCGCTTAGAGATTTCTTGTTATGTAACAACATTATTTGAGGCCCAGGCTATAGTTTATTTATCTAAGGAAATTACATAATATTTTTCTCAGTTTTTGTTTTCACTGAAAGACTGATGCATAACTGAATAAATCCAGAACGTCGGAAATTTGACATGTTATAATTTTTTTGGTCTATGTTCATGTAAAATAAAACTAGAAAAGCAGGCATTTCACTGCACTTAACATTATGTTTTAATGTCATCTTCCTTACATCCTTTGCTTTTCTAAATTAACCCTTGAATGCACCACCTACAACATTCTAGTCATTACTTACTACGATAACAAAGAACAATAGTGAATAAGGAACACTGACAAAGTTTGTGTTTCCTATTTGTTTTATTGTTGTAATAATATATGGAGCTGGAACTGTTAGAATAGATCTTTCACTTGGTTAGATATCTATATAAATATGAATTGTATTGTCAGGACATTATGTAGTTCTCAGCTCTTCCTTTGAGGTATTCAACTTCTAGCATGCACTCAACCACTATCTTTAAAAGTTCATAAATTTAGAAAATATATCTTGATTTCACTGGTTGGTGGTAAGGAGTCGGATTGCACATGTGCAACTAGATCAGAGTAAGCTCCTTGGCCCATGAAAAAAAGTATCAAGTAGTTGAGTGGGCGTATATAAATGGTTTCTACTGCTCATAAAACATTAATGTTGGAACGATTGCTACTGGGATTGAAATAACATACTAATGCTAAAGAACTTGGATGAGTAATTGAATGACCGCCAACACTGCATGTTGCCTACAATAAGGACCTTGATTTGAACATACGATAATGAAAATAATGCTAGTATTCTATCTGCCTTGTAAAAACAAAGCACCATCCACCACTACATAGTGGAGGGATTCAAAAACATCAATAAAAATAATACATTTCATTATTTGGTTTTTCACCTCAGAAATCATATAGCTTAGTTATAGAACAGGACCAAATTGGCTTAAACTTGATCAAAATGTTGCATTGATTTATTTTCATTAGCTTTTACACATCAAAATACTATCATAGTCAAAGAACTAAATACAACATTTAAATTGAACTTACAAAATTCATACTAATATGGTGGGAGCGATTTCAAGAGTTGGAGTGATTTGTATAGAATTGTATGTTTTTGTATGGAATGCTTGAGGTTGGTGGTTTCCAAAGAAGTGATTGTGTGGTTGAATAAGAAAATCCCTTGATACTGCCTTGGAATGTTTCACGACTTGAATTTCAGTTTAAAGAGGCCACCTTTTGATGATGATCAATCAACAATATGATCAAACTCCTTCCAAGTAAGTTCTATCAATTTCCAAGCATTCCTCAACTTCTAAGCTTCGCCTAGTTAAATTTTATCCTTTTGAAAGTGCGAAAAATTGCAATTATTAGCATATCAATGTTAAAGGTGTTTGAATTTTGCATGACTTGACATCCATCAAAATCCACATTAGCGTGTTGTTTATCCTTGATGGCTGGTGATGCATATTTGAGGAGAAATTGTTAGTTTCAATAGAGTGAAAGAAAACATTTAGTTTTTAACTTTGATATCACGAAGAGGAAGTTTTGAACAGTAGGGGAAGAATTTTTCACACAAGTACTAGTTTTCCTTCTATGAGTCATAAAATGCAAATCAGCAAAAAAAATTTTGTCACCAGTTTCATGGAATAGTGCTGAAAACAACAGAAAAAAATTGAAACGATAATTTTCAAGTTCAATTTTTTGCACTCTCAAATTTAAACCTAACTTTGAAATCAATTACAATTAATTAGGGGTAAATAATTGAAATTACTTCAGCATGGATAAGACACATTAACAGTTGAACTTAATGCAAATTAACTCATACTTCTTGCGTTAGTTGCAACACAAGCAGAATCTTTGGCTAAGAGTTCAAATTTGTTTGTTGAATGAGGATTATTTAAAATGTTTGCAAGTTGATTTTCAGATTTGCAATAAGAAAAACTCGTATCTCCTTCCTTTGCACTGATATTAACAAGAATAGCTTGATTTTAAAATGTTTGGTCTTTCTATGAAATTGCACTGATATTAACAAGAATAGCTTGATTTTAAATTGTTTGGTCTTTCTATGATATAAAGTATGAGATATAGCAACTATAGCTTGGTTATGCACAAACACTTTTGTTCTTTTTCAGTTACTTCAAATGTAAATCACTCAACAACTACCTTAAGTCTTAATGCTTGATTCATAATAGCTGTGTGAACAACAAATTCAGTCTTTGTTATAGATTGAGCTACAAATTCTTGCTTCGTGGAACACCAAAAGAACAGACCTAATCCTAAATTAAAGCAATACCCTGCGGCACTCTTAATGTCATTCATGGACCCACCTCAATCACTGTAAAAAACTTTATCAAATTCAAGTTTTGACACTTCTTGACTTTGATACAAAGAGTAATTTTTTTTTTGTATAGCTAATGATTCTCTTTGCTAAACCTAGAAAGAATACTAACAAAAAAAAAAAATCTGGATTTATTATAGTTAGATAGTGTTATGCTGGTGCCTAGCTTAATGACAACTTTATTTTTTCTCAGCCTAAGTTCAATTTATTCTTTTATTATTGTAAGTCTGAAAAATGATGATAATAGAAGAAATCAGACGGCCTGCTGCCCCATTCAACTGACTAGCCACCTTGTCGGGTGGATCCAACAATGAAAAGATGCAAGGTATACGAAAATGTGCCAATGAAAATCATAACTATCAGGAGCATAATTACTTGCAACTCTCATTAGTTTAATTACTTGTAAATCCCAAGAGCTTAATGACTTGTAACTCCCAGGGCAATGGTATAATATACCAGATCCCCTGTGATCTATAAGTAGGAGGATCTTTTTTTCATAAGGGGGAGGAAACCATTTAGGCTTTTCAGTCATTTAAATTACACTCTCCCATTCTCTTGTAACAATTTTTTTCAATAAATAAAATGGGTTCGAGAGCTCAG